CCCCCCCCCCCCGTACTTGGCAAAATCGGTTCTTTTTGATCAGGCACTAGAACGTGGAATAATCATTTCTCTTTCTCTTCTTTTGCCTCTTCTCTTTCTTCTTCCGTTGCACAAGATCGATGTTTCCTTGAAACATAAACAATGCTGTATAACTTTTTATATATCAAACTTGTAACTATAATCTTTGTTAGTAACCCTAGGTAACAATATGATATACGATTTCTTTATTATTTCTTCTTTTATTCTATTTTTTTTTATTGTTTCGCAAGTTTTCACGGAAGTGATATTAATCTGATAATACTATGTTTGAACGACAATATGTAGCATTCATAACATACAGAGTTGTATCAGCGAGATAAGAATATCTGATTGATATCAATAGCGGATATGTACATCAATTTCATCCCTATGTTGCAATGATGCGAAATATAATTGATACGTTGAGCAAATTTATGACACTATTGACGTGTCAAGAAAATGTTCCACACATTTACAAGAAATCCTGGCGTTTCCGTGTTTCACTAATTATACTTTCTTCGATAGATCAAAGTCGTTTAGATTTATTAGACACGGTGAAAGCGTGGAGCATTGTCAATACATTAGAATTAATCGATGTTCTCGGGCTATTTTTTAAATTATACGTTGCATTCTGCCTCATCTCTTTATCATTGTTAGCATAAAAATCCGGTTTCAATATCGCGGAGCGAAAAGTGTTAAGACAAGATAGCTCTTAAACCAAATGCAAACTTTTTTATCAATTCCTTGAAAAGAGTCTCTTCTAATACTCGTGCAATAATCACTCAAACCTTTATTGATTTTGAAATTCCAACCGAGAAATTCTTTGTGTGTACAAAGAGTTAAATGGAAGACCATTAAAAACGTATGTAGAGAAAAGAAGGTAATTGTATCTCACACTTATATGTATATACGGAGAAAATTTTATATTAAGTTTTAATACAATTTTAAATTACACTTTACTATGTCTTGTATTTTCGATGGACTCTCACAACATGATTCCGACTTAACTTTTACTATGGTAATACTAATTTTTATCACATAAATAAAGTAATTATTTTGTTAAGCCATATTCTAACATGAAAACAGTTAATTTTTACTATGGTACGCAAACAAAATTTGCTAGGTATATTTGATTTTGTAAAAAAAAATTTTTACTGCAGACCTGCTGAAATTTTTACTGCAGACCTACTGAAGACCGCAGCTACTACCACACATTATAGTAATTTTAAATATAAAATTTTCTCCGTGTATGCTTTAGATTCACGTCAACCTTGAATTAAATTTTGTAGCGTCTATAGCCGAGTTGATTATTTTTTCTCGATTAAATTTTTTTATTCATTTGAAAGTTTTGTCATTGTAGCGATTTTTGAATTTGTATTTATATTTTGTGTTTGCATTCGTAAGGTTTGCGACTTTCTCGTGGATTTCTGTCTTTTGTGATACGTAAAGATGCGTGTGAAATATCAAAAAAAGAAGGTGTGGAGGAACATATGGATGCGTACAAACACATTCCGAGATAGAAAGGAGTACGGGGATGAGAGAGACATAAAGCTATATGCCAATTGTATGCCAGTTACTGAGTTGTCAGGATATTACTCTGGTGAAATGAGGACACCGGGATCAAATTGACAGCATCTCTTTAGCATCGACATCTCAATGTTCTACAAGCGTGTGTCATGCAGGATTTGTGAATATTTATAGCAAATTTAAAAATTACATGCGAAAGCCTAAGAAATTAATCTTTCACGAAACGTGCACAATTTCTGACAACATCGTATTAATATAATTCTCTTACATGTTTCTTTAATACAAATAAACTTACGTATAAAAAGTTATTTTAAAAAAGTAATGTACTTGGCGTGAAGTAACATTTTCTCAAAATTGTTTTTTAACTCAATTTGTAATGTCGCATATTTTTTATTCAAATATAATGTTATTGTTAAGATTATATTTTACATGTAATATAACTTAGGTAAAGTTAACCCTTTCATTTACAAATTATTGTATATTAGGTGTTGAACTTAATTCCTGCCGTT